TTGCGCACCTGCTGCTGTAGATATGCCACTGGTTAACTGTATGCAATGTATTGAACTGCAATTTTGCCTGTTTCCGACCATCGAGTGGGATTGAGTAAAATAAAAAAAATAAAAAATACAATACCGCCCCCGCTTATCACTTTTCCAGCTTAGAGTATTAGATATAGATTTATCCGTAGGCTTGGTAGCACATTTCTAGCAATGAATTTTGCCAAACCTACCATTAAGCATACCTTAACATAGCATTGTGTTATTAATACCTTCTTGCCTGCGTAGAGGCTATAAAAGACGCCAACATATGCTCTTTCGGTAAATGTCGCGGTGCCAGAAGATAGGGTAGTGAATGCTAATATTTTAATACTATAGATCTAAAATATACAGGAATTTGTTATGCTTGGTGGATAAAATATCAGCTTTAACAGGTTGTATTGAAAATGTATTGCACACTTGGGGATAGAAACATTGAAGGTAAAATTATGACGGTATGATTGACTCCATAAAAAATTATAATTAATTGTGTGTCATTGTAATTTCAATATGTACCGGGTGTCAGCTCAGCAGGTAAAATGACGATAAAAATATCCTCCTTAACTTTAGCCCTATCTTATATCCTTTCGAAATCCTTTTCCTTCGTATGAAATTCACATTTGAGCTTTTTCATTGCGGCTGACGTCAAGAAGGATAAACTAAAGTGCGGACCATGACATCACTGTAAACACAGCATTCATCTTTAAGGAGCTGAGAATGAGAACAAATTAGGCAGGATAAATGCAGCAGCTGTTAATACAAACACAATGTTTAAACATGTCACCGACCACTGTCTGATAATCATAATTAACTATTTCCTCATCTGCATCTTAACATGGTTCAGTAAAAATTTATAATAGTTTATAATAGTGCAGGTCTCCTTCTAATTAATGACCAACTTTTATATTGTTACCAGCCACTGTCTGATAATTTTGATTTACTAATTCCTCATCTTCAACTTAACCTGGTTCAGTAAAAATTTATAATAGTCTATAAGAGTAAAGGTCTCCCTCTATTTAAAGACCACTTTTCTATTGTCACCAGCCACTGTCTGATTATTTTGATTTACTAATTCCTCATCTTCATCTTAACCTGGTTCAGTAAAAATTTATAATACTGTAGTCTATAAGAGTAAAGGTCTCCCTCTAATTAAAGACCACTTTTTATTGTCACCAGCCACTGTCTAATAATTATGATTTAATAATTCCTCATCTTCATCTTAACCTGGTTCAGTAAAAATTTATAATAGTCTATAAGAGTAAAGGTCTCCCTCGACTTAAAGACCACTTTTCTATTGTCACCAGCCACTGTCTGATAATTTTGATTTACCAATTCCTCATCTTCATCTTAACCTGGTTCAGTAAAAATTTATAATAGTCTATAATAGTATAGGTCACCCCTCCAATTAAAGACCACCTCCAATTAATGACCACTTTTCTGTTGTCCAAATTAACTGTCTTGTGTCTATGTTATTCTAATTAAAAACCAAAGCTGCCGAAGACCGTAGAAACCTCAGTCCCAAAAGCAGTCTTTAATTGGAGGGAGACTGTATTTGGTTTAGTGTTTTGTGGTAGATGTTACTTTTATTTTAAACATGTTTTTAGAATAGTTTTATCGCTAGAAATAACTGTAGTATTTTTGAAAAACTGTGTATATTTGAACCGTATTTTATTTATATTTTTCTTGAAGCATACAGTACAGTAGTTATGTCCAAACTATGTTGGTCCTCCATTTGCTGATTCAGTGTTAGGGCACAATCAGTATTACAATAGTCACAACCTATAATGAGAAAAATTGTAAACACGACACAGTGGGTGACCCTCAGTATAGAAATATCAATGGCTTTTTCAGAGTACTAACATAAAGGTGCCGTCATTGATGCTTAATAATGTAACAGTTGGAACAACACTGAATTATTTCAAATTTCTTGGAAATTGGACTTCCGGACATTAAGTACTTGCTACTGTAATGCTTCAAAAAATGTAATGGCCCAAAAAACTGAAATTCTCCATGAAGATTTAGACGGGTGATGTATATTTGCCGCCATATTAGGAACTACGAGAGTCTTTAACCTGCCTTATATTACCTTTTTCTGAACATTGATTGTCATCTTATCCTCTTCCCATTGAATGATTTTCTCAGAGGTTGCCCAATACAACCTCTGTCTATTTTCCTTTTCGCGGAAAGAGTACTGTCATATCTCCAATCTGTGTGATTTAACCTATGCTGATTAATTCGACCAAATACAGTATTGTGACTGAATTTTAGAAAATTAATCTTATTTCACTTTTTTTTTTGTACTGTAGATGCTTCATAAATAGATTCTCAGTGATTATTAAGGTTCTTTGAAATATTGATATTAATTTCAGTTGGCTGGATTTTATGCTCAAGTATTCTCTTTCAATTTGTTTTGTCATTTATGATGAATCTTTACGAGAGTGGTGTAACAAAGAAACATTAAATATCATCCTGCAGTTGGGAAAATTGATTTTTGAATTACTGATTCATAATTACCATTTATTTGGTTAAAAATTACGTTTATTTTGATTATTCTATTGATTTCAATGTTAGGATCGTAAACCCGTAAGCAAGCGTCCAATATGAAGATGCAAAATTGTTCATTGATGCTAATATGAAATTTGGTAGAAAGAAAACGTATTTTATTTTTATGCAACGATATTGGTATGATTAGCATAACAATATTATGTTTTGGAATTTATACTGCCATCAATGTAGTTAAATTCAACCATTAGTTTAATGTTGGTTCAGTTTTTTATTATATTCACTTTCCATAGCAGTGAGTCACCCTCTAACTATATACCAGATTTGCAAGTTCGGTATTTCCTTTATAATGAGTATTGTCTCCTTGGCGTAAAGAAATGTGGTCGGGGATTTAGAGAATGCAGGGTTGAATGCATAGAAATATTACAAGAGAATAATTTCAGTACATTGCAATAATAAAACAATGTATTCATATTTCACCCCAAAACAATAAGATTAATATGAAATCGTTTTAAAAACATAGTAAGAACTGAATTTTGTTTTGAAATTAACACTACTGAGATTTGAAAAAGGCACTGATTAATCACATAAAGAGCAATACTGTACAATTCACAATAAAATAATCAGATTATAATCAAATCATTTTGAAAACATAGTACTGTTGTAACAACTAAGTTTTATTTTAGAATTAACAACAAAGACATTTAGAAAAAAGCATAAATTGAGTTATGTTAAGAGCATTTAACATTAAATTTTTTTTATTTATTTTCATCTTTTTAACTTTATTTACCGAGGGTGACCCAAAACAGCGATGGCTGATGATCATGGGACAAGGCCTGGAAAAAATATTTTTGTGCATCCAACCATGACAATTAACTTGATGAAATCCCTCCAGGGCCAATCATTTATCTTTACATGATTATAACAAAACAGTAGTACTTTTTTGGTTTGGAGCATGCAAAAATATTAAATTAATTTTTTTTTTTTTCTAAAATGCCTCTGGGTTAAAGGTCAATGCATTAGACCCTCACATAAAAAGTAAACAATCCCTAAAGCTAAACAGAATAATTAAAATTAGAGAACTGTACAGCTTAAAAAATAAATAAATCAATTAATAATTATGTACAATGAATAAAAAATGCCTTTAATCTTTATTATTCTAATTAAAGACCTGCTATAACCATGGAAACCCCTGTCCCGAAAATGGTCTTTAATTGGAGGCACTGGCGGCACCAGCGAGGGGATAGCAGGGGCTTAAGCCCCCACCGGACAGCTCAAGACCCCCCCCCATTGGACTGAGCTCGTCGGGCAGTTGGACTAAAAAATATATGAAAATAGGCCCACACCAAGCCAACACATGTCTGTCACAATCAGAGAGTGTCATTTCTGGCCATCCAGAGGTTCCTATTCTTAAAAAAAATCTCATTTGGGAGGGGGAACATCCTCTCAAACCCTTCCTCCAGGTCGGGCCTACGAGCCCAAGTCCCCCCTGTCAGACATGGACAGGAAAAAAAAAATTAGAATAATATCAAACAATTGAAGTACTGTAGTACTATAAAGGAATTTATGAACTCTAGTTTGATAGTACCTTTCTATCTGGTGCACCCTTCTTAAAACAAGCTCATCAGTTATTGTCGTGAAGGCTACTAGCAGTTAATCATCAGATGCATTAGACTGTCAGGGGCAGGCCTGATAATCCTATCATTGGAATTGGATTTTCAATGCTTTCTGTTTTTCCATTTACTTACTGTACTCAATTATCTTGTGTACACTGTGCAGTGAACGATCTTCACCTCGCAATTTTCATGGACGTAAAATGAACCGTTTTTAAGACTTCCCTTTCCAATCTATCAAGCATTGATTTTTTTTATAACAAAAAAAACGGTTGTCCAAGGATTTCCTTCTAATTTCCTAATAAAGTCAGTGGCTTCTCAATTATTACCTGTGTACGACAGACCGTATGAGTCCATGATCACAAAATCAGGACGCGAGATCTTTCCATGGATTTTCTGTCATACCAGACAAAAATGAGTGCATCGCAGCCATAGTATGTGTATTGATTTGGCGTCATTAATTTTGTTATAATTGAAATATTTTTTATTGGCGTAGTTAGGGTAATTGTCAGGATATATAAAAATAAGACCAACATATTTGTTAAAATTCAAAGATTTTCTTGTCAATCTTATTTAGTAATTTTAGTTTGAATGAACACCTACTGTATATCTAGTGGATCACATAACATACTAGTTTAATCATTGTGTTATTTATCATTATTCATTATACTAACTTGAGCTCAGCTCATTTGGTAGAGCACCCAAACCATTATTGCAGGGTCATGGTTTCGAAACCTGATAGCGACTATATATTTTTCAGTCTTGAAATTGAAATTTATGATAATGGAAAAATAACCGGATATGTATTTTATATATATATATATATATATATATATTTTTTTTTTGGTTATTTTACAGAGATCGCAAGAGACGTTCATACACCAAATCACCACCACCATCCCGCCGTTCTCGATCAGGGTCCGTGTCACCACGACGATCAAAGTAAGTTAGGTTCATCCAGAATTTTGAAAACAAACAGAAAATATAGGATTTTAAAACACAGTGTGTTTTATCTGCAGTATGTTTCCTCTGCCTATCTTTGCTGTTGTAGTAAAGCTACATTTGTACTTTTTGTTTTATTATTTTTGCGAGTCCTAAGAATATAAACTAATTGATACAGTTTAGAAGTAGAAGTGGTTGGCGCATCGGTTGTGGTTTGGACTCCCAACCTCGAGGTCGGGGGTTCAAAACTCTCGCTGTGCAAGTGGATATGGATTTGGATACAGCTGTCTCTTATACACATCTAGATGTGTATACGGGACAGGTACTGTACATGTAACAACACAACCCACAACCACACCAGCTCCCACCGTGGCAAAGCTCAAACGTTGCTATTGCATCATTGATGTTCTCGTCTTTCTTTAAATGTAATTTTACTTTGTGATATTCTTACGGTAAGCTACCCAAGGCTAACAGTTTACGCTCGTTAGATAGAACCTAGGCCTACATTTCAAAGCTCTGAAAATAATTTAAAATTGACAAAACCTGGCTTTACATCCGACTATGTGATAATTGAAGATATAATGCATTTGGCAATTCCTCTTTCAATCAATCTTTACAATGATTTTATTTGATACCGATGACACAGAAATCTTTTTGTGCAACTATAATGTGTATTGATGTTGTATAGTAAGCATTAAATGACCAAAGCTCAATTTCTAAACGAAGTCCATCTATTGGTGAGTTATTTATTATTAATAAGTGAGATTCTCTCCAATGATTCATAAATATTGTCAATTTTCAATATCTTCCTAGTAAAAAAAAAAAAAAAATCTATTTTTACCCTACAAATCAAAAAAGTTCTTATGATTCATCTGTATTTATCATTGCAAGACAGAAATTTTCATTTTAATGCTGATGATAAGCCGAAATGATATATTTTTCTTTGAAGTACTCCCATTTGTTTTTATTTTCGCTGTTTTCTACAATAATATTAATATATAATTCTTCTGTAGAACATCTAACTTTAGGTTGAGCCTCAAAAAAACATTTTTAAATCTTTTTCCCATCAGTCTAAGAACTTAGGAGTAAAAATTGCAAATACGATATTTTCATTTCTAACGCTTTAACCACTAGCGAAAATAGAAGAGTGTTTACAGTTCTTGTAACAATACACTTGAAAAACAGTTTATTATACAGTATTTCTTAAATTTTACTATATTATATTAATTTACACAGATACTTCTTGAAAATATCAAAAATAGTATTAAAAATAAAGAGTATAAACCACTGCAAAAAAAAAAAAGAAGGATACTCCCCATTCATTATTCAACTGTATAATTTTATATACACTGCATTTAATAATAAAAAACAAAAATGTATAATAAATCTGTACAAAATGATGAGATACATAACAGCAATGAAAAGCATGTTTACAGTAGCGGAGAGACCTATTGCTAAAATTTTTACTTATTTCAGTTTTGGGTAAAAATAAGACCAGTAATACGTACTGATGTAAACACTAGAAAAGAGTTTTCCACACATGGTAATTAATTATCTACCATATATACTCTCGTAAAGGCGACCCGTTTATAAGAAAATCCCCGAGCTTGAAAAGGTTTTTGGATGTTGGGCGTACGGTTTAAGGCGACCCCCCTCCCGTTTCACTGTTGGAATTCATACTCCTTGCTGCTTTTTATGATCTTGATACTGCATCTAGCTGGCTAAAACTGGAGCCAAATGCACAGCTAATCTTCCTATTAATACCATTTTATGAGATTTTAAATGTTCATCAAAATCTTATTCCCCAGTATCTGAAATTGCGTTCATTCAATCATAGGCCGACTAACATTTTATCAGCTTTAATGCAGTAGTAAATTTGCATGATACGAACAATCCGCACAAAAAGAAGAATATGATTTTAAAAATCTAAAGTTTGTATGTCGCACTTATAAGACGATTCCTATGTTTTCCGATTGTAATTTGCTATTTTAAGCCTACAGTGGTCTTACACGTGAGTATATGTATACCCACAGCACAATAATAAAAAGAAATCCTTACAAATTCAATTAAAAATCTCATTGCTTGTTTAAATTCTGTAATATATTAAATTTTAATCAAACACAGATGAATTCAGTTGAGTTTTTACTAATTTGCAGTTGCTAAATATTACAAAATATCTTTCAAATTTATTACCAGCAAATTTACATTCTATGGAAAAGAATCTAGGAAAAGAATTATTTTATGTCTGTTGATTAAGTGAGAACAATTTCATCTATGAATTAAATTTAAACCTAAAACATAATTAACTTATACCTGTACTTCAATATACAAATAAAGAAATATTTGAATTTTTTTATCTGATTATTTTAAACTGTAAACTGTATCTTTAATAACATTACATTTAAAACCAACATACATAATTTCAGCATTAAATTACAAATTATCCGTTGTTCGCAGAACAAATCAATATTCTCAATAGGACATGTGATGTATTATTAGGACAAGTTATGAACAGTTACATCTAATTCATAATTAATCGTTTTTGCCTAGCAACAGATAGTCAGCCTACTTCTCCAAGCTTCATCCTTATCTTATTGTAAGGTTTAGAAAATTCAGATTTAATTACAAAGTTGCATTCATATAATTACTGTCCCCTGCAAGAAAACTGCGGTACAGAATGATTTGATATGCAGACTCATTCCTACCTTTTAGTGAACTTCAATATTAAAAGAGGACAGAATAATAAATATTGATTTTGATATTTTTTTTACGTTTTTCAGATTCAATACAGAAAATGTATCATTAATTGCTATTGAGTCAAGTAAAATATTTTTTTTTTTTTTGCAGGCATAAGAAAGAGAAGAAGATTAAAGACAGAGAACGTGAAATAGACAGAAGTCGTGATAGAGATTCACGCAGTAAGAAGCACAAACGCGACCGTGATCGTGACCGCAAAGACCGTGGCGATGATCGCAAAGACCGTGGCAATGATCGCAAAGACCGTGGCGATGATCGCAGGGACAGAGAATCTGAACATCGCGAAAGGAAGAAAGACGTGAAGGTGAAGCGAGACTACGACGAGGAGGAGCAAGGGTTTGACAATGATAAAGACACGGAGAAGAAGGAGAGGAGAGAATCAACTGGACGCAGTGATGGTGGCAGCAGCCGAAAGGAGGAGAAAGTGACGGTGAAAGAAGAAACTGAGAAAGATGTGTCGATCAGCGATGCCAATGTACAGGAAATGGATATGGATGTGGATACAGATTAGGTGATCACAGAAATGCTTAACTTCTGGTAGCGCTGAGGTTGTGATAGCGCCGAGGTTTAAATAATGTTGTCCCTATTCGTACCACAGTTAAAAGTTTATTCAATATTAAAAGAATTCATTCAATTCTAGTAATCTTCAAATGGTACCAATAATACTGTAATAATACTGTATAATACTGTAATAGTACAATAATAATCAAAATGAAAGCAAAATATCTACTTAATAATAATAAACAATTGATACATCTAGTAACAATGGTTTTAGATTTTGCAATCAACAATAATAATTACATATTATTATTGCTATTATCTAAATAAAAAAAATTCATTTATCAGTAAAAAAAAACATATCAATCCTATCCAAGACATTATTTGGAAAGTTTATTACTAAATATATTCTCTATATCTCTTCATAAAACCATTACATGATGATGTGGTAACCTGTCACATGACTGTTGAATATTTATGAGCATTTACGACAGAAAAGAGATACATGTATCTATCACCTGATGTAATAATAATCACCTGATAATACTGTCATATGATACATCCTGATAGATCTGTCACGTAGAGTATAATATCCTTATTTATAAATTGAGAATGGCACAGAGATGCTGGTACCTCATTCATTATCACATGATTATGTAATGATCACCTGATAAGTCACATGACACATCCAATCAACCTGTCACATGTACGTTTAATAAACCTGAATGTAATGAACTGAAAAACTGAAACATACAGTAGTAGTTGAGCATCCATTTGAAAACTGGTTGAGATGTATAGACGTATGTTTATTACTTATGATTAAAAATTTTGATTATCTGTTGAATAGAGTAGGATAATTTTTACTCCTAATTATCATAACCAATATGTGTTGTGTTTTGCTTATTTGTTTTGTCTTTTAGTCACTGAAGATAAATGTAGTATGTTGTCTTGCAAATAATGAAAATTGACTTCAAATTGGGAGAGTATAACTATTCGAAGTTTTCACATTTTACCATCTACTATTCCAAATGGGGTCATTTTTTAAAATATATCATTTACAAAAGTACAAAACACCTGTTTCCTCTTACCCCTATTCTCCTCTAAAAAGTACAAAATATTATAATAGTTTGCATTTGTGGTCATCATTTGATTTTCCCATCCCTCTAAAAAGTACAAAATATAATAATCAGATACATTTGAGATCATTTGATTTTTTTTTTATCTTTCTCAAATAAGTGTAAATACACCCTACTCGATTGTTAGTGTACTTTCTGAAAATGTTGAAAAGTAGATAGCCCTGTAGTTTCCGCTATTGAATGTATGTCTCTGTATTTTTACCATGATGCTTTTCATTTGTAGATTTCATAGATTTAGGTTAATTTTTTATTTTGTTTTGGCCTATCTGGAGTTATGTCTTCTTTTAATCCTTTGAACTGAGGTTGAATTAATAGTCAGTGCCAATGTGATGAATTTTCACTAAATCAGCCGATGCTTTTTACTTGCTGTATACTTCTTTACACGCTGTCAGTTTTTTAAAGAAATAAAGTGTTTCAAGATGTCAAACACGTAATTGATGTGATAATTTTTTACAAAAACAAAGTATATGCAGCACATTTAATAGGGGTAGTAAATTGATGCTGGAAGCATATTCCAAGACTTGCCAATGCATTCCAATATTATCCCCCTTGCGGGGACTAATCGCGCGACATATCGTCATCATAATTGTTGTTTCTTTCAATCTTATCAGGATAAATCATTGTGCAGTCTAGAGTAATAATTAAAGATATATTTCATGTCCAGAACAACCCTGAAAACATCACTTATTTTTAATTAATTGCTCATTTGAAGGGTCACAAAGGTATAATCAACTTTCAATTGAAAACACAAATTCGGAAAAAAAATATATTGGTTTATTTGAGCATGCAAGTTTTGTGATAGAAACTACTGTATAATTATTCTCGTATGTTGATTAGTGTAAACAATACTATTCTGTACATTACACCGGCATAGATTGTGTATGTGTGCACTGTATATTATTTATTCAGAAACATTACCGCGATACCCCAGGCGAATCTCCGAGATATGTGACTTTTGAAGAGTTCTTTAAAAAGCACTTTTATGTGTTTATCGGCCATGGGTTATTCAGAAACTGCGTGAAACTAAAGCCTTGCAGAGATGTGAATTCTTTTTACAATTATACTGTACTCTGTATATGAGCGGTGTCTTGGTCGAAAATAGATAAATATAACATTTGCTAAATTATCAAAATCTTTCTGAGACCATTTCGAATCTTGACAAAAGTCGGTAGGGATGAAATACTTTGGGGATTCATTCCAGTATTGTATTTGCTCTCAAGTGTAGGAAGTTCAAAATGACGTTTAAGCTCAAACAAAGCAATAAACCTGGTGGAGAATACTAAAGGCAATGACAGACATCAAACAGTAACATCACGAAAGCTTCAATAGCCTCACATTGTCTAGACATTCCACACTTAATATTGTTTCTGAGTTTTTGATGCAAGATGTAATGTAATTTGCCACATAAAATTTGGTTGTAGACAAGTGACTAACATCTGGAGATTACTTCTTTGAAAATATATCTTGATAAGCATTTATGGTAGTCGTCATCTGCCGTGTATAACAGTGGTCATTTGCATTCGTGACAGTTCTCATTTGCCATCTATGAAAGTCGTCATTTGCCACCCATGACTGTCGACAACTGCCATCTGTGACTGTCTTCATCTGCTACCATTTATGCAAATCATCTGCTATCCACGACAGTTCTCATCTGGCATTTGAAAGCCGTCATCTGCCATCAGTCATAATCTGTCATCTATGAAACTCATCATCTGCCATCTATGAAAGTAGTTGCCTGGAATCTATGAAAGTCCTCATCTACCTCTATTAAACGTCGTCATCTGACATCTATGAAAGTCGTTTTTGCATCTGTGACAGTAGTCATCTGCCTCTGTGATGGGAATATAGTTGTAGATACATTGTCAAGTTAGACATGAACATGCGCAATGGAATAGTGAGAGGAAATGGGTGTTTGACAAAGTTCACCGTCAACAGTAATTCGAAATTAGAGGAACTCCAAAGAGGCACAACAGTTTCTTCAGCATTTCAAAAAGCACAACAGTTTCTTTAGAATTTCCAAAGACACACACCTTTCTTCAGAATTTGAAAAGGCACACAAATATCTTCAAAATCGTAGTTTTTTTTAACGAATTGGTTTGCACATCAATGAATGGAATAAAGACAGACTAATGGTTTATAAGTCTTGGCCAACTTCATGGTTTCCGAATAGGCCTACATTATGGACGATATTTCGTGAAGAATTGACAAAACAGGCCAACCGAATCATAAGAAACAGATATTGGCTAACAATTGAACAGGTTCACTTACGAACTACACCGAAACAGAGGTTTGCACTCAAAGTATGAACTGTTTTATGGATGACACATACATTTAACATTTGGCTTACTTATGAATTATCACCATTCGAACAAGTGCAGACATTGTGAATATCTCTTGACAAGAAGAGAAGAGTTGGTTGTAAGATAAGTCTTGCTGTTAAAGGAAGGGGGTAACAAACTTATTTGTATACCTCCTTGGTTGGAGCTTGCGCTTAGAATTTGCAAACCGCACAAAACATAATATGACGTCGACATAGTCTACTTACTAATCTTTGTTTATTTCATTCATTTCTTTTCAGTTGTAAAAACGGCTACAAAACAACAAAGACGAGGGAAAAAGTGTCAGCAATGGAGATTAGGGACTCCAAAACACTTAACTGCTAAACTCAATATTGTTCTCACTGCTTGCAAAATATTATGATTTACAATAAACATTAAAAGTTTATATTAACCTACATATTTAAATATACTTAAAATACTCTAAAATTAAGTTTATCACATTAAATAAAACTAAAATTATTTAAAAGATGTTAGGATAAGGCTATAAATGTTCCTTGACGTGGTTTTATATAATTGATGATGACGTTCATAATATTACTAGGCGGATAATGAGGATCATTATGAAGCTGATAATTATAATTATGATGATGACAATGATGACCTGACGGTGATAAATAATTGTAATTACATTACTGTAACTATTATTAGTCATAATGCTAGTATCTTTATCGTTGCCATTAGTAACTTTAATGGATGACGGTAAGCGGACGTCTTCGCTCACCCTAAAGTGAGAATTACAAAAAGGCAATATCACCCGAGATCTAGGCCTAACATATATATTGAGCTTATGCAAACAGGATAAGCACATTATACGACAGTCACACAACGAATAAATCATAAATAGAGCTAACCATGTGGTTGTGAATGTTTGGTGATGCAATATCCATTTTATTTTTGAAAACCATTCTGCTAAGAATAATTGCATTGCACCATTTAGGCTTTCAGTAGGACTTTCTTGTTGAATTTACAGGACACTACAATAACTACAAGAATATATATTTTGGAGTAATGCTCATCGTTTTATTTTGAATGTAGTTTAACAAACGAGTCACGTGACGATGGAAAGAGATTACGTAGATTTGTTGATCAAGGACAAGATTACGTTTGCTTCAAAAGTGATTGATGGACTGCAAACGTGCTGTGTACGGGGTCGAAAGTTCACCCTCCTCCGTCGACTTTGATTTTCAAGTTTGAAAATGTAGATTTTCTAGTAATGGCGTATTTATGATTATGTGGTAATTATGCGTTTAAACAGGAAATCATGAGATTGGTAGCGCGCCATAGATGCTCGTTTCATGATTTTTACAGACATGACACTATACTCTGTACTTCATTACTTTATTATTCTGTACTGTGAAATGAAACTGGAAAGTGCAGACATCATCTAGAGAAGTTGAAACTGAGAAGCGCGAAAATCAAAGAAAATAATAATAATAATAATAATTTTTAAAAAAATGCTTCCGCCGGGTGTGACTGTCTACTGCTGAGTGCAATGATTTTTTTAATTTTTTTTTAATTTTTTTTTTAGAATTTGAGTTTAGTACCTCAGACTGGCACTATTTAAAATTTTGCATGGAAAATCATCTACGAGGTTTACGTAATATAAAGATTTTGGTTGGGGAACACTAGATCAAGTTGTCCAAATTCCCCACAAAAGCTGTTAGTTAGAACCGAACAAGTGTTTTCGGGTTTTCCGGGCATCTACTTTAGCAACACTCCTTTATCCTCCCACTACTTCCCCTTTTCAGCATCTCGGATCTAATAAATGAACTGCTCTATATAATATCATAACTCATGTTTGTATAAATCATGTATCTGTCTGCACTTTATACATTTTTTGTATAGCAATTTATCTGAATCCATAATTGCTATACTAATTGACCTGAATATATCACAGAGCAATATTAATATATCATGAATCTGTAATTTTCCTATAATAGAAAATGGTATTTACCCCTAGGCTGTAATTAGTATCTGGGGCGGATGCAGGATTTAGTGCTAGGGGGTGCGTGCAAAAAATTAAGGAAATAGTACCGGTACCTGTAGATGGCCGGAATTGACACTTTTATATAGTAAAAATTCATCATCACATCACCATTATACGTATTGTCAAAAGTATTAGCGATTTTCGGCAACCACAGAGATCTAATTGTGTAATGTAAAATTTGAGGAAGTAGTACCTTTAGATGGCCAGAAATGACACTTTTATACAGTAAAATTCACCATTTGTCTAGATGAAGCGCCAGCAAATTTCTCATGATCTTTAATCAGGGATTTTAATTATTTAATACGAGTGATGTACCATAGAAAATAAAACTAAAGAAACAATTTCTCTGATGTATTTAATATACTCGACCTACTTGAAGCTGTGTGACCACATTCCCCTCAGCCCCTCCATGGTTGGGGCTGAGGTGAGAAAAGTTTGAGCAAATAGTACCCCAAGATGGCCGGAAATGACACTTTTTAAATATTAAAATTCATCATCATCACATCACCATTATAATATAGACAAAATGAAGCCCCAACAAATTTTCATGATCTTTTATCGGCTATTTTCGGCAAACATAGAGATCTAATTAGTATGTGTGATGTACGTTACCATAGAAAATAAAACTTAAAAACATTGTCTTTGATGTATTTACTTTACTTACTTCAAAACTGTGAGTCCACACGTCTCTCAGCTCCACCACAGTTGGGTCTGAGGGGGTAAAATTTGGGGAAATTTTACCTCTAGATTGCCGGACATGACATTCTTATATATTAAAATTCATCATCACTGATCTAATTAATCGCTGTAATGTACCATAGAAAATACTACTTAATGTGCCGAAACCCCATCTTATCTTTGAACGCTTTTTCTCATGTCAAGTATTATAGGTAATTCAGATGTTTGTGGGCAGAGATACCGGCATCTTGCTCTAAAATACGATGTACTCTTGCTGTACAGCTCTCTTTCGTTAAAACCTGGGTCATTTATGCATGTCAACAATTTTCAGGCATATCTTCTTCACTCACGAAAAGTGAGGGACCATCCCTTAATTCCCCCTTAAAAATAATATTTGAGTATTTTGTAGATATTAGTTGACTCTAAAATC